GGCGGGAGCTGTGAGGGGGGTGGCGGCGGTTGGAGACGGGCCTCGGACCTGGCGGCGGGGCCTCCGTGCCGGGCGCGGCCGCCTCCCGCTCGGGGTTGGGCAGCGCCTGGGCGCCAAGTTTAGGAGGCGTCTCGCCGCCGTTTCGCCCCGTCGCGGTGCGGGGCGGCGGGCTGGCGTCCCCCGCAGCCGGGCAGCTGCTGTCTGCCTCACGGCCGCTGAGGGCTGAGCGGAGTATATAGGTCACTGGAAATAATGCCTGCCTAATCTCCTTTATCTGTTTGGCTCGGCTTTTCCGCTGCTGGTTTGTAGGGTGACCTGGGCAGCGCTGGACGCAAACTTCTGGGAGAGGACCCAGGCTTCACGCAGGGGAGCAGGCGAACGCCAAGGTGAGAGCGTGGGATGCGCGCCTTTATTTCAAAGAAGGCTTTTTCCTCACAAGTGTGATGTTTTACGTAGTGCCAGGTATTTCTGCTTACGTCTGTTAGCTGCCTGACCCTGTGCGTGGGTTGTCAGTTTGGGTTCAGGCTTCTGTTTTAACAGGTTAGTAACGCTGATTTTTTTTTTCCTTCAGGAAACTCATTGTGTCGCTCACCAAATCACTGAAGGCTATTTTGATATTTTCTTGGGATGCCAAAGGAGAGTAGAGGTCTTGGCAACTTCAGGGCCCTGGTAACTGGAGAAGGCAGTGTGTCCTGATAGTGATTGCTGTGTTGCTGTGATCTTTGAGGCAATGAGGAACTATTAGCAAGGTCGTGTGAACATGTTCTGTCACCCAAGGTTGCTGGTAGTAACTCTGTATGATTTTGCGTTACTCCGTGTGGACAAGTCTGTAGGTGCAGGCATGCATCCTCTCTGTCTCTGCTTTAATGAACATGGAAGGTCAAAGGGAGAAGGAAAAGACAGAAAAACTTACAATCTACTTTGTAAAGTATAAATAATTGCAAAGGGCAAGATTGTACCAGTGAGATATTGGTGTGAGGATGGCAGTTATGAAGCTGATGGAACATCCAGATGCCTTTTTCTGTTATCCATCTCAATCAAGACAAACGTTTTCAACTGACTTCTGCTAACAGCTGTTTTAATCTATTTATTGAGCCATGATGATTGACGATATGTGCTTTGAAAAATAAGTGAATTCTATTAAAATGATGAAAAATATGTTGCCAAAGCCCATGGAAGAAACATAACTTTATTTACATCTTTTTCCTTTTTCCCCCTCCTTTTTTCCCCTCCCCATTGATGTTATGATAAGAATGCTTTCCATTTTAAACCATGAGGACAAAAAATTCTTGTCAAAAGTGATCCTGAAGGGCATGTCCAGGTGAGGCACTTCCATGTGGAATGAAAGCAGAGCAGGTAAAGTAAGACCTGGTGACAATGGTGGTAAAGGCTCAAGGCACACAAAGACACGATCTAAGAATGTGTTACCTCTGATACCTAGTGGGATTACCTTTAATTAACAGAGGAAGGTTTGGAAACATGACACAAATATAGCTATCTGCATGCAGGAGGCCCAAAACCTTAGTTCCATATCTACACGTAACAGTATTTTTCCTCCAAAATCAACTGCCACCTGAAAAGGAAGAGTGAGATACTGAGTTAGTTTGTGTAAGATGTACTTGGGGCTTCGACTCACATTATCTTTGAACTAAATGCAGCATGTTTTCATAGCAGTTGCAGAATTTGTCCTGAAACTTACTCTGTTTCAAACTGTGGTGACTCCCCATGAGTGGTAAGTTATTGAGAAATCAATGGCTTTTTTTTTTTTTTTTTTTTTTTTTTTTTTTTTTTTTTTTTTTTTTTTTTTTTTTTTTTTTTTTTTTTTTTTTTTTTTTTTTTTTTTTTTTTTTTTTTTTTTTTTTTTTTTTTTTTTTTTTTTTTTTTTTTCTTTAAAAAAAAAACAAAACAACAAAAAGAAAGGAAAACAACAAAAAGAAAGGTCAAATTGTGAGGTAATACTGAACTGCCTACCTGCACAGTGACGATAGACCATGACAGTTAATTCTGGTCTAATCATAATTAGCATTGTAGAGGACATTTTTTCTGCTTCTGTGTGGGAAAATACATAGCTAGATTAGTGCTAAAAGTATTAGGCAAATACTTATTATGTAATTTTTGCCATTTAACTGTAGAAACATAGTCAAACGTCATCTTCTCCCCTTGTACCTCTGCTGTAGTCTCCAAACAGTATAACAGACACAGTTTTGTTTATTTAAACAGTTGCATGCCTTAGAAGAACTTGTCTGGTTTGGTTTAAAAAAAAAAAAGGCAGAAAAGCTGTGTGATAATAAAAACATGTGCTAGGTTCTTTGCATAAATAACTGCTGCTGAAAGACACTTGTGCCTTTTATCCTTCTAATTCTAGTTCATTTTTTACAAGTTGCCTGTATTGTGTATTGGTGGGGGGTAGGATTTATTTCTGTGAAAATTTTTATGTAAGTAGACCTAAGGTAGTGACTATTCTAGTAGTAGTTTAGTTTGCCTGGGGAACTGGTAAAGTGATGCTAGCAATAGAGCTCACAGCTAGAAAGATTTCCTAATGTAGGTAAAAAAAATAAAGCCTTTAAGCTATTAACAAGACCTATATGTTGGTAAACTTTTGAACTGTAACTTAAATTTAACTGTTGGCTGTTTTTATTGCACTATGCTGACGGTTGAAGAGTTGAACTGCTGAAGAATCAATCCCATTTGCGTTCACAAAATCTTTTGTAAAACCTCAGGTACCCCTGAGCAGGAGGGAAGAGAATTTTGTAATTTTGAGTTAGTTTTATTAACAGTTAATCTATTTGTAATAACTAAACATTTTTCAGACATTTGTTTTTTGACACACAGGTCAAAGAGCAACAAATGAAAAATTGCTGTTGTGCAGCCAGGTCCAAAAAGTAGTGTGGGTTTTTACTAAATTGTGTTAACTCATTTTGATGTGGCAGGCTCCTGCCCTAATGCAGCAAACCTGAGAGGGAGAGATAATTTGGCTTGCTGCTTCACGACTGTACTGGCATTACATTAAGAGTAGTGTTTCTGTAAGCATATGTCTTGAACATATAAGGGAAGAAGGGAGCCTGAGTAGGGAGGTGCTGCTTTTATGTTACTGGTTGAAGTTGGAACATCCGTGGCTTGTTACCTTGTTACACTGGACCCATGTGCTTTATTAAACATAGCTGTGCTGTTTTCTCCTTGCACGTTTATCAGGCTTTTACACTTTGCTGGTGCCATAAATATGTTTTAGTACAGTGTCATAAATTCAGTATTCCTGTAAGAAAACCTATGGAGGACAAAAGCTTATTTCCCTTTGTGAGGAACTCCCTTTATTTTTAGTGCTGGACTTTGCAGGCAGTGCATGCTCTCAACCACAGCAAGATGTGGATTTGTTTCGGAGATGAGGGCTCTGTTCCTCTTTACATGTGACTTAGAATTATAGAGGGTTCTCTCTCCTGTGTGTGCCTGACCGAGTACAGCTATGACAGGTGCTAAGCAGCCAAAGATTTTTCTGCGAACCATTAATGCCTTCAAAAAAGGGTGCATTGCTCCTTGTTTTGCTCTGATGTTGTTGTGGAACTACCCAAATGTCCTTGCAATGCCTGTGGCATGGATTGGGAGTATCAGTCATATTGGGAGTCATTGGGACTCGTGATTCCGAGTTTCAAAGAAGTAGTGGATTCAGCTAGTCTGTTACTTTGAGGTGGTCTTGCCTTTTTTTTTTTTTTGTAATTGGCTCTTTTGCCTTTCAGTACAGGGAAGCATAGAACACATAGTCAGCAATAGGTGTAACAGGGTAATTTCCTTTCTGAATTGCTGACTTGCATTAAGATTAATTATGCTTGCCTGCTTGGAGTGGTTTCAGGTAAACAATTAGAAAGTTCTTTATTAGCTCCTTGAATCATTTTCATAGGATGAGGAGCATGTGAAGTGGAAGTACTTTTTCTTAAAAGTGACAAAAAATAAAATAAAATGGAGGAAAATAAACATGGAGGGCAGAAACTGTTTTGCCCTCACAATGATTTCTGTTCTTAATGTTTTGGTCCCAGCAATGTGAACAACACTGGGAGATGTTAGCATGAGCTGGCTGCCACATACCACAGAAGTTTTATGGATGTCAGTGGTTACATCTGCCTTCAGCAGTATTTCGCTGGCATGATTTTTACAGTGGTGATGTTTGCCAAAAACAGCCCAGTGCTTAGGGGTTCCTGACTTGCTAGCGTTGATACAGCAGAACACAACGTAGTACTGAGATGGTTTTGCAGAATTTCCTTAGGCTAGATAGAGCTAGGTTTGTTTTGCTTGGATGCCAGTGGAGTCCTTGGACTTGGAAAACTTTTTTCGTTCCACAAGAACCTTTACTGTTGAAAAAAAAGAAAAATTTAAATGTTCAGAGAGAAACAACTAAGGCAGTTTAGCAAACACTGCATTTATGATGCATGCTGTTCGCAAGTTATCTTTTGTTAGTGGTGTTGTTTTTAGCAACTTACTTGTTAGTAAAATGGGTTAATGAGAAATGGTAAATCGCATCCACCACCTAACATTAAGATTGTAGGGACAAAGGTCAAAGGAAGTGATAATGCTCTTTGTTAGATCAATTTCTGTAGCTGAGGGAGTAGGCAACGTTCTGGGCACACAGACCTTGGTTCTGCTGACATTCAAGTCAGCTCAGTTAAAATGACTGAATTATTTGACTTTTGGTGTATATAGAAGCTATCTGAACACTTTTCCAGGTATTAATGTTTCTTTTAGTCTTTGCCTATAAGGAAAAAAATTGTTAGCAGAATTTGTCTTGTATTTGCATGAATTTTTCCCATTAGCCTTCACTGAAATTCAACAACATTTGAATTGCTTTGTGTGCAGATACATTTTAAAAAGTGAAATGAATTAAAGATTAATGAAATGTTATCTGATTCTTCCTCTTGACAATTTAAAATTCTAAAGTAATAGTAATGCTTCCCATTTCATGGATGTTATATTAGATTAGGAAGTGATAAACTATGCATAGCTTAAATCCAGTACTTGCTGTGTGTTATAACATTACCATAGCAGGTACATGTGCAATGATTCAATAGGTGGAAAGTTACTGTTTTATTCTAAAGTAGCAGGGGGATAAAATTTTGTTGTATTGGCAGCAAGGCATATTCCATTACTAGTGGTAACATTCGTACAGAGTTTTGGCAAACATTTAAAGGAACAACAGTTTAGGTTTAAAAGAGGCATCAACTCAACAGCAACATTTCAGGAGCACTCAGCGTTGGGCTCCGTGACAGGGGATAATGTCATCTAAGCAGTTATCATTTCAAAGTACATTCAAATATTCTGAGATAAAAATATTATTTATTCAAGTACAGGAATATTGGGGTCTGTGGCATAAAGGAGTTGAAAAAACAGTTGGTGGCAGAAT